TTTTCACTCCCAATGGCTATTGTACCATGGATTGCATAACTAGAGTTGGGGTGTAGAGATGAAGAATGGATGCTAGTCATTATTGTCATGACCACCATGATGGTCTGGATGGCCAGAACAATTCACTTACAGTTTTTAATAATGTCAAAGACAACAACAACAACACTAGAAAGTACAAGGAGTAAGTTTATACTTTAGTTTCTTTCAGATCAGTGTGGATTAGAGGAGCTTCTGCCCTCTCTGTGTGTTCCAATGAGAAAGAAATAGATACAGAAGAGATTAAGAGAGCATAGGAGGGGGCGTCAAGATGTTTGACTAGAGACACCTGTTACTCACCTCCTCCACAAAGGAGGACCAAAACAGCAACTAGATAAGCATGACATCAAAGAGAGTATTTCAGAGAGAACACAGGAACTCAGTAGGAAAGTGACAGGAAACCTCTCAGGCATGGAAGGAGAGGAAAGCAAAGCAGCTGGCCCAGCTGAGATCGGAGCCAGGAGAGATTCCTCAGTGAAGGAAAAGGGAAGGGAGAGAGCCATGCTTTCCACATTTCCACAATGGACTACTGCAATCCTGGCTACAGAGTGCCCTTTGGCTCTCACAGACCCTGAGACTAATATAAGAAACTTCCTGGAGCCCACATGATGGCATTGTCTCAGAGAGGGATTTCGCCATGGGTCACACATATAGCCCAAGACTGAAGCAACTGCAGCATGGTGCCCTTTTGAGAGCTCAGGCCCGACAAGACTGCATCTTGCCCTGGAGACCAATAGCCCATGAATCTCCTTATCCCTGGAGCCCCACTGACATCCCCTTACATCTACTCAGATAGATGGTTGCAAAATACCAATGACATTCTTCACAGAAATAGAAAAAACAATGCTAAAAATTGTATGGAACCAAAAAAGGACCCAAATAGCCAAATCAATAGTAAGTAAAAAGAACAAAGCTGGAGGCATCTACTACATGGCTTCAAAATATACCACAGACCTATAGTAACCAAAACAACATGGCATTGGTATAAAAACAGACACATAGAGAAGTGGAACAGAACAGAGAATTCAGAAATAAATCCACATATTTGTAGTCAACTGATTTTCAACAAAGGCATCAAAAACGCATATTGGGGAAAGGACACCCTGTTCAATAAGTGATGCTGGGAAAACTGGATATTCATGTGCAGAAGAATGAAACTGTCTGAATGAATAGACTGCTGTCTCTCACTATATTAAAAAAAAATCAGTTCATAATGGATTAAAAGTTTTAAGACCTGAAACTGTAAAACTATTAGAAGACAACATAGGGGAAACACTTCAGGACATTGGTCTAGGCAATGATATTATGATTAAGACCTCAAAAGCACACACAACAAAAACAAAAATAGAACAAGTGGGGTTATATTAAACTAGAAAGCTTCTGTATAGCAAGGGAATCAACAGAATGAAGAGACAAACTTCGAATGGAAGAAAGTATTTTTCAACTATTCATTCGACAAGGGACTAATATCCAGAATATACAAGGAACTCCATCAACTTAACAGAAAAAAAAATCCCATCAGATATTTCTCAAAAGATGACATACAAATGACCAACAGGCATATGAAAAACTGCTGAATATCACTAACCATTAAATAAATGCAAATCAAAACCACAATGAGATATTATCTCATCCCAGTTAGAATGGCTGTTATGAAAAGGACCAAAAGTAATAAATGCTGGCAAGGATGTGGAGAAAAGAGAACTCTTATACCTCGTTGGTGGGAATGTAAATTAGTAAAGCCATTATGGAAAACAATATGGGGGTTTCTCAAAAAAATAAATGTAGAACTACCATATAGTCCAGAAATTTCACTACTGGATATTTATCCAAAGGGAAAGAAATCAGTATATCAAGGGGATACCTGCACCCCCATGTTTATTGCAGCACTGTTCACAATAGCCAAGGTATGGAATGAACGTGTCTATCAATGAATGAATGGGTAAAGAAAATGTGGTATACAGATATACAATGAAATACTGAGCCACAAAAAGAATGAAATCCTGTCATTTGCAGCAACAGGGATGGAACTTCAGGTCATTATGTTAAGTGAAACATGCCAGGCACAGAAAGACAAATATCACATGTTCTTACTAATATGTGAGAGCTAAAAAAGTTGATGTCAGGAAAGTAGAGAGTAGAATGGTGGTTACCAGAGGCTGGGAATGGTGTGGGAGGAGGATGAAGAGAGGTTGGTTAATGGGTACAAATATACATTCATATAGAAGAGTAAGTTCTGGTGTTTGATAGCACAGTAGGATGACTATCATTAATAACAATACATTATATATTTCAAAATAGCTGGAAGAGAAGGTTTGAAATGCTCCCAATACGAAGAAATGATAAATGTTTCAAGGGTGATAGATATCCCAGATACTCTAACTTGATCATTACATATTATATGCATGTATTCAAGTAGCATATGAGCTCTGTAAATATGTAAAATGATTATGCATCAATAAAGAAAGTTAAAAAGAGACAGCATAGGTGAGAACTCTCTGCTTTTATCTAATGAGCTCCGGATTGCCTTCCATACTCCTGGACATGATACTAGGAAGTCTCAATCAAGGGCCAGATTATGCCTTCTGGAAACTGGATATATTATGCACTGGAAACTGGATATAATCTAATTGATGTTAATTGTGATAAGTGTTGCTGGTTTTACTTTTGGCTTCATGCATAATGACTTATGTTTTGTGGTGGTAATGAGTAAAAGAGGTGGGGTGAGTTGATGAAACTGCTTCTGTGCCCTGATAAGTGACTGTGTTCTGATTGGTTCTCAGATGGGAGTTGATTTTTCTACAGGAAGAGAATTAGCTTACCAATGTGAAACCACTGAAGGCAAAGTCAAGAGAAGTTTACTTTGCCTCCATTGCAGTCTTATTCCCACGTCCTCACTTTTTCTCTTCCCTTTATTCTCCTTCCTTTTCTCCCCAAACTCATGATTTCCTTTCTGTCAGCAACTCTCTCCAGGTTCTCATTAACACAGAAATTGTAAAGATTCAGAAAAGACTATGATGGGATATTTTTCCTCCTTGTTTCTGTGAATCTTACATTTGGACTGGAAATATAATTTATATACTACCATAGGGGATCCTTCTTCAATTTTTCTGAAATTAATAGAACCCATTTTTTTTTTCATAATGTGTTGAAGGAAATAGTTTTTGAAAAGTTGGGAATGGCAAGAGATCAACTGAGAGGAGACTTTTACTTTGAGGGATCCTCTCTCTGGCATGAGATGAGTCCTTGTGAAGTGAAAAGATGGGGGCTATCTTTGGAAACGCACCCATCCCTGCTCCCAGAGAGCTCCGGGCCCACATTTTATGGAGAACAGCATCTGCTCTCACATTGAGCTGGGTTAAGCCTTTGAATTTTCCTTTGCATATGTTCTCAATCATTGATAGTGTTGAATCATGAGGCATTTTGCTAGATGTGGGAATAAATATTTTTTCTTTTTTTTTAAGGCAGAGTTTGCCCTGTCACCCAGGGTGGAGTGCAGTGGCACGATCTGGGATCATTGCAACCTCTGCCTCCTTGGCTGAAGCGATTCTTCTGCCTCAGTCTCGTAAGTAGCTGGGATTACAGGCATGTGCCAACACACCAGACTAATTTTTTGTATTTTTGGTAGAGATGGGGTTTCACCATGTTGGCCAGGCTGGTCTTGAACTCCTGACCTCAGGTGATCTGCCCGCCTTGGCCTCCCAAAGTGCTGGGATTATAGGCATGAGCCACACCTGGCCGGGAATGAACTATTCTTAATGAGGAACTTGACAAGGTCTGAAAAAGTAGATTTTCAGGAAAAGCCACAGGCTGGAAGTGTATCATCTTTGCTTCACGGTTCGGCACATCATTACTTTCCTTTTCCGTGAGTTAGGTAACAAGTGACGTTTAGAAATATCCTCTTTCCCACTGTCCGCATGCCAAAGATCAGCCTTTCATATTTTTCCTTAATTGTCAAAGAAATATTTGAGCATCTAAGCTGATATTCTTTATTACTGTGGGTGTGATTTGGGAAACAATTCTTGGAGGGCAACTCTGAGTCTGTGGTGAATAAAAAAGTGAGGATAAATGTGAGTGAATATTGTGTCTGGTGTTCTCTGTGCAGCTGGAAAAATGATGAGCAAGTTAGCTTGATTAGCTGAGCGTCTTCCTCCTATTGAAAGGGCGGTGATGGTCGTGATTGGAAAAAGCTGTTCTTGAGTGGCATCCTTTTAGGAAAGACTGTGGTTTAAACGGGCTTGTCTACGGGCCTCACTTTTGGGCTTACCTCCACCCCCAAGCCATCCACCATCATTAGCCACGTTCCTGAAATTAATTTATTAGAGGAACTGTTTGATTCAGGAGATAAGTGGGTTTTGCTTAGGTGTGGTTATGGGGTTTAGGAGGGTCTGCTGGTTAGTTCCACTGAGACCCTGAACAGTATGAAGTGGAAGGCTAGTTAAGAAGCAGAAAGAGAAAAAAGGAAGCCAGTCTTCTCAAATATTTCGTTGGAAGTCTGCTGAAAGATTCATTTTGCTCTGTGCCCCACAGATTGCATAGCTGGTTCTGCCTCTATGCTTTCAGGTCGCTCAAGTGTAACAGGAGTGAGAAATTAGAATCAAGGGCCCATTTCATCACTTTCTTCCAAGTTTCTGTATCCACATGTGCACCGTATGAAACTGCTGTCCATACCCTTGTCTTAATTGATTTAATGTTTAATCTCCTCTAACAGAAGGTTTACAGAGGTCTCTTTTCTTCTTGTAGTACAACTTGCAGTCTCTAGTTAAAAGGGTGATTCAGGTCTTGGCAGTATGTGATACTTCTGTCCTTTGAAAAGAAGTCATTTAAAAAATCTTGGTTTACTTCGTTTTATGGTAACAAGACAATACACCTTCTTATTTAATTCATACGTGCACTCTACATTCACTCCAGCAGGCCTTATTTCTTAAGCAGGAAACGAGAAATAGCCTTATTGGTTGGCAGGTGCAGGTGCTGAAACTAGCACTAACGACTGTGAATATTCATTCCTGAGCTGTATTTGTGTTCAGACTCAGGCGAGGGGTGCAGACTGGAGTGTTCGTCTATTCCCCTTTTGTGGGTTTAGATGAGCGTGAGATGGTTGGCTTGGCAGGTTGGCCCCGGTGAGAGAAGCAAAGTCATGGGTGGCCCTGTTCCCTGTGGGAGGCTTTACTTTTCCATGCTTACACACTGAACATCTAAGCTGGCTGCTCAAATACTCAAGAGGCAGACTTGGTAAAAATGTGAATAAATGAATGTAGTTACTATATAGCCATTAAAGAAAAATCTGCTAATGGTGACTCAGTAGTGCCTCCCTGATTGGAAAGGACAGTACCTTCTGGTGAGCTGTGAGCATGTTCCATGGGTTGACAATCAGATTTGCATGTCTGATGACATTAATTGCAGGGTGCTATGGGCCAGGTTTCTGTAAGTTGGGTGGAGGTGGCCACTGGCAGTGAGTACAACGCCCAGGGGGAAGCATGTGAGTGGGAGGAAGAAAAGAGAGCGCTTTCTGGAGCTGTTGCAATGTGTATGCTGGTGAAATCGACTTGAGCATTAAGCAGCATCTCCCAGGATTGTTAGTTACTGAGTGGCACGTCTTCAGTACTCATGATTTGTGGGGAACTTGGGCAGAGGTAAAAGTGTGGTAAGTTTTAATACTGTGTTTTCTTACTAGTTGCTTTTGACATGCATACAGGTTTGTGTGTGTATGTGTGTGTGTACGTGTGTGTAAAACTGACTGTAAGATGTCACGTTTCAGCCTATTGATTTTTTTATTCCAGAAACTTTTCAGCATTACCTAAGAAACAAAGGCTCAATTTTGGCTGCTTCATTCTTATCCCTTCTGCCACAGTTCTAACGTGCTTGATCTACTGAGACTGAGGATGATCAATGACTCAGAAGGCAAAATGGGATTTAAACACCCAAAGGTTAGTTTGGCATTTCTGCAGTAACCTTTGGTGTGATAAAGTGAAAACAGCAAGAGCTTTTGATTCATAAAGACCTTGTTTGAATCTGACTGTACTGTGTATTTATGACATTGTGCAAGTAACTTTTTGTGGGTTGTAGCTGATCAAGGCAAAGCTAATACTAGCCTAATGCTGATGATTCTGTGGAAATTTTATTTCATTTTACGTCGGGATCTAGCATTGTGGTTGGATAGGAAGAGTTGATGTTGAAGATATGTGCCTTAAATGCTTCTCTTGATTTCTGTAGCATTTTCTTCCCCTGGGAACTTCAGGAATCTGGCAGCTGAAGCGTTAGGTCTACCAGGCACTCTTTTTATCCGTCCTTTCCGTCCATCCATTTATCAACACTTAGGTACCAAACTGCTTACTATATGCCAGGCATAGTTCAAACAGCTAAGGATTAAGCAGTGAAGAAACATAGAAAAAAAATCCTATATACATGCAGCTTTCATTCTAGTGAGGGAGGAATGCAATAAACAAAATAATTCAGTAAATTATGGGTATATTAAAAGGGAATGTGTTACAGGGAAAATAAAGCAGGAAAAGAGGGTAGGGTATTGAGGCAATTTTAAATCAGGTGATGAGAGCAGGTCTCATTGAGAAAGAGCTCCCCTGCAGAGCTCTGAACACACTGTGCCTTCTTGTTATTACCAGCCACCAGTGCTCATTGCCTTGTCTTCCTCTTGTTTATTCACTGAGGCCTCACCATTTTTGGTCCATGAAAAAAATAATTGTTTGAGAGCACAGAATATGACTTTTGGGTTTTCCTTTAGGGCTATGTTAAGGTGTTAGTAGATGCTAGTGAAAGGATACATTAACATAAAAAGGGGCCCTCTTTTCTGCCCTTCCTGGGTTCCTTATACATTGGGTACCTACCTGCAGAGCTTTTTTTTGCATAACCTCTCTAGTCCCTCTTGTACGCCCCACACAAACCTCTGATTATGCAGCTAAGTATGGCCCCTTGTAGGGCTGGGCCTCTGCTTCTAGTTTCTTGGAGGAGCAGGCAGGCATGGATTGCCAACCTAACTTCATGCTTTTGTACAATAGCAACCTCTGCCTTCACCATTTCCTGTCCCAACATCGTGAAAGGAGAGTGTCTCATCATCAAGAAAAGCCTCTCACTTTCTCTGTCTTGGTCCAGGAGGTAGGGGAACAAAGAGGAGCAAATAAGCCAATCACATCATGATGTCCCTGGGACCTGGAACAACCTTTGCAGTATGAGGATGGGATCCACATCAAGAAGATACCCAGTCTTCTTTGGCCCATGATGGATCACGAGTCAGTGAATGTTCATTAGCTTTCATAAAAGGGGATATCTGCTTTCTGGTAGTTTTCAAAATGTTAAAGAACCCCTTTAGAAGCTAGGAGCAAGGTTTAGCGTGTGAAGCTCTGTGAAGGCCATGGATGCCTTTTAATTTGGGATTTAGTAGAACTTAAATTCCCTCTGATACATCCTAAGTTCCCCAAAGGCAATGTGAATGGATGCGGGCTGGGCAACATCTGCACTTCCAGCTGAGATGAAATATGGTAGGGTTTAGCTTTCCTTCCTTCTTTCCTTCCTTCCTTCCTTCCTTCCTTCCTTCCTTCCTTCCTTCCTTCTTCCCTTCCCCTCTTCCTTCTTCTTCTGTTTCCTTTTCTTTCTTTCTTTTCTTTCCTTCCTTCCCTCCTCACCTGGCACGCTCGACTTTCTTCTTCTCTCTTCCTTCCTGTCCTTCTTTTCCTCTCCTCCCATCCTCTCTCATTCCTTTCTTTCTTTCTTTCCTTTCCTTCTTTCCCTCCCTCTCCTCTCGCGGTCGCCGCGTTTCCCTTCTCTCTTTGCTTTCCTTCCCGTTCTTTCCCTCCCTTCCCTCCCTCTCGCGGTCTTCCTTCCTTCCTTCCTTCCTTCCTTCCTTCCTTCCTTCCTTCCTTCTTTTTCTTTCTACCAAGTTTTGCTCTTATTGCCCAGGCTGGAGTGCAATGGCATAATCTTGGCATACCACAACCTCTGCCTCCTGAGTTCAAGCAATTCTCCTGCCTCAGCTCCCAAGTAGCTGGGATTACAGGCATGCACCACCATTCCTGGCTAATTTTGTATTTTTAGTAGAGATGGGGTTTCTCCATGTTGGTCAGGCTGGTCTTGAACTCCTGACCTCAGGTGATCTGCCTGCCTCGGCCTTCCAAAGTGCTGGGATTACAGGAGTGAGCCACCACACCTGGCCTCATTTCCCCTTTCTGATATGGCTCTCTGAGGTGGCTTCTCCTTGGCTAGGAATATAGCATTGCCATGCCAGCTGCAGCACGTACGCACACACCCTGGAGCTATCCACCCCACATCATTCTGTGCCAGTTGTGTTGGCCTTTTTCTGTTCACTGAGGATCTAGAGAGAGAGTGATGTCAGCCAGAGCTGCTGTGGCAGGTGGGGCTGTTCTGATGTCTGTTCAGGTGGCCAGAGCCTCCTTGCCACATTCAGCTCCTGCCCACGTCCTCTAGGCTGGCCCCAGTACAGCTCTGGGCCACTCTCCATGACTGTGAAGTATATTTCTGCCCAGCTTAGTAGTAATGAGGAGAAGTATTTATTTTTATACGTTTGCTTGTTGTTTCAGGTGGTAAGAGTTCTGTAGAAGCCAGGCTTTCCTAACACCCCAAGTCCTTCTTAGGCAGCATTATGGTTCTCCAGTTATATACCTGGCCCAGCTCTGTCCAATATTGAGTTCCAATCTATACCTGAAAAGACAGACACGAACAGTAACAGGAGAGTAAATGTTGGGTGTGGGGATAGTGGGCCCAGCTGCACTGACAATAACAATCCCCTCACCGCCTCTCCTTTGTTGTCTGTGAAGCTACTCTAAGGAGTAATTCTTCCCTGGACCATACCCTGTTGGGAAGCGAGGTGTGGAGGTGCCAGGCAGTGGTTTGGGGCCTGACGCTGGCCCTTGACCTGTGTGTCACAGCTGTGCGGGAGATGCAGTATCACTTCCTTGATTTGTTTGTTTTTCCGGATTGCACCTTTGTTGACAGTCTGGAACTTACTCTTGTGCATTTTGTTATTTATTTTCAATGGTGCAAGGCCCCAGTGTTCATCCTCCTTCTGAATTCACAGAAACATCCACACAAATAGACTGGCCTTGGCTTGGACTCACATTTGAGAGACTTCAATCTACTTGGCCTGTCAAAATGAAGTTCTTCTTAAAAGTCCTAACTCTCTGGTGCTGGGCTATAGTCTAATCAGTGCTTCCCAACCTTTTTTCACATCACAGGATACATGGACATGATATGATTTATGTAGATGGGAGGGCTCATTCCTAGGCAGTAGGCCATCGGGGTCTGGCTACTGTAGTCCTTGACCCCTCACCCTCACCTGGCTGTTCCTGGGGCTTAGGTGATTTGTGTTTCCCTCTGGCACACCTGTTCCCATTGGGGGCACACAAGTATGCTACAGCTAAGGTTAGAAGTTCTGGCCCAAGACCTAGCATAGACCACAGTCTCAAGTTGCAACAAAGTGTTTCGTCCATAAACATCTTTGAAGATGATCCTAGAGGGTGCACATACTTTCCCAGGATATTGTAAGTTTGGGAGAACTGAGTTCCTGTGGTTGCACCCATTGCTTGGTGCAGTCTGCCACCACTTGTCCTTCTAGAAGGAAGGGTAGAAGGATGCCAACACTGCATGTTCCCTGTCCCCTCCAGGCCAGCATGACTGGGATCCTTGGCTCTGTGGCCAAACTCTAATGCTTAGCACTGCTTCTTTCCATCCTACTGCGTTGTGGGGGTATTTCACATGACTTCCACAGGTTCCTGACCTCTCGGCTTTGCTACATCTTCTGCATAGCTTAGAACATCACTTCTTATGCAATGGTTGGAGGTGTCATAGATGTTCTGCTGATGTTGTCTGTTTGTGTTGCCGTGAACCACACCTGGATAACTGGTCTGGGTGGAATTCAGCTACTGCAAGAGTACATACTAGTCCTCTTTTAGCCCTTATGACTGTGTGGTACCAGGCGGTGGTTCTTACATTTAAACAGAGCTATGGGCTCATCCATCCATTCATTCATTTATTTACTCATTTAACAACTCTATTCAATAAATGCTGGCTACTGGGAATATAACGATTAAAGTCATAGTCTCTGCCTTTCAGGAGCTCACAGTGCAGTGAGGGAGATCCAAGAAGTAAACAATGATGATATGCATGAGAAATTCCACTGGGTTCCATGGGAACACAGAAGAGGGGGAAGATTCTTGCACTTGGAGAATGGTCAGGGGAGGTTCCCTGACTGAGATGAGATAACTTTTAGCTTGAATTTTTTCTTCTCTTCCTCCTTCTCCTCCTCCTCCTCCATTCTCCTCCTTCTCCTTCTCCCCCTCCTCCTCCTCCTCCTTTCTCCTCCTTCTCCTCCTCCTCCTCCTTTCTCCTTCTTCTCCTCCTCCTCCTTCTCCTTCTTTTTCTTTCTTCTCTTTCTCCTTCTTATTCCTCTTTAAACAGAGTTATCTGGGATGTGTGCTAATTGAATGAAGGAAGGAAGGGAATGGCACAGAGCTAGAGAGTGGTACTTCAAGTGCCACAATTTTGTTTGGTCATAGTAGAATTCTAATGGGCAACAGCAGCTAATGAAATAAGGATCACTTAAGGAGGGAGAGGAGACTTTTACAACAGCCTGCAATGGTCAGATCATACTTTTGGAAGGAGAATGTCTATGGGATTCACTCATAGAAACCCTGGAAAGTTTCCATTGGAGGAGAAAGAAATCTAGATGGCAAGCTGGCTTGAAGAGACTTGTTATGTATGACTTCTGTGAGTGCGGGAGGATGGCAGGGGAGACTGCATTCTCTGTCCTACTTCTTTCATTCAAAAGACAGCATTATCTTGGGCAAGTGACATGACATCTCCAAACCAGTGTCCTCATTTATAAAGGTGGTTCTAATAATACCTCTCTCACCAGGGTTGATATGAGAATTAAATGACATCATTTATTGTTGTATGAAAG